GGGGCAACACAAGGGCCATGCAAGTAGAGGTAGCAACAGATTACTTAAGTCCATCTATGGACTAAAGCAAGCTTCTCGAAGTTGGAACATAAGATTTGATGAGGCAATAAGATCTTATGACTTCGTTAAAAATGAAGATGAGACTTGTGTGTATATGAAGGTAAGTGGGAACGCCATCACCTTTTTGGTGCTATATGTAAAACGTATCCTGATAATTGGGAATGATGTACGAATGCTCTCCACAGTACAAACTTGGCTATCTAGACATTTCTCCATGAAGGACTTAGGGGAAGCATCCTATATCTTAGGGATTTGGATATCTAGAGATAAATTCAAGAGGATACTTGGCTTGTCCCAATATAAGTACATAGACACCATTGTCAAAAGGTTTGTCATGAAAAATTCCAAGAGATGTCTCCTACCGATGAGACATGGGATATCACTTTCTAGGAGTATATACCCAAAGACTCCTGAAAAAGGGCAGACATAGATAGGATACTCTATGCCTTAGTAATAGATCTATCATATATGCTATGTTATATACCATACCTGATATAAGGTATGCTCTAAGTGTTACGAGCATATATTAAGCGGATCTAAATTTGGAACATTGGAAGGTAGTAAAATATATCTTTAAGTACTTGAAGATTAAGGATCTTTTACTGATATATGGATGAAATAACCTCAGGGGAGGGCTACACGAACTTGAGTTTCCAGTCCGATGTTGATAATAACAAGTCTAATTCAGGGTATGTGTTCACCCTAAATGAAGGAGCAGTATAGTAGAAGAGTTCCAAGAAAGATACTACTACTGACTCGACCACATAGGCGGAGTATATTACTACGGTAGAGGTAGCAAAGGAGGGAGTCTAAATGAAAAAGTTCATTGTAGATCTGAGAGTCGTGCCAAGCAGCGAGGAGCCGATTCTCTTATATTATGATAAAAATGAGGTCATTGCTCAAACGATAGAACCTAGGTCTCATCAGAAGTCTAAGCACATTTTGAGGAGGTTTTACCTAATCAGAGAGATCGTGGCTCGAGGATTTGTAGCAATGGAAAAAGTTCCATCCGAAGATAACATCGCGGATCCACTGACGAAGTCATTATCCCAGATTGTCTATGAGCATCACAGGGTTTTGATGGGGATCAGACACGTAGGTGATTGACTTTAGGTCAAGTGAGAGATTGCTACTCATAGGTGCCTTATAAGCCAATCATGTGAGTGATGGCACATGTGATATGATACATATTCTTTTTACTTATTAATTATTTGGCATCTTTCTGACTTTATATTACTTGTTGCATGTATTGTGATGTCCATAGATCTGTGCAATGAGAGTTGATTGATGATGAGATAATGATAATGAGATCGATTCACCTTTAAACACATACCCTAAATAATTTCGATCATAGGTTACTTGAGAGGGACATTGAGTTAACCAAATAGACTAGTATGATGTATACCTTTCTATATGATGGAGGCGACTGGTCTCATAGTTTCTTATGTAGGGACACTAAGGATATAATACAAGTGCTCATTGGATAATGAGTTCACTAATTAATCCGCTCATAAAAATGCTAGATAGTTAATGATACCCCATTGTTAGATGGTGATTCTGTCGTCCTAATGGTGTATCTAGTCCTTAGACTTGAGACACCAAGATGTCTTGTATGAGTACTCAACTCTTTGATACTGAACTTAGAGACTTGAAAGTTCTAAATCTAGCACAATCGATCATCAGAAGTGGCAGTCAACCTTATGAGGGCTATTAAATGTCGATAGAGGATCATCCACTTTTAGTGTCATAAGAGGAATATCTTATGTATTTTTGCTCAAACAAATCCCTGGCCAAAGTCATTCAGATTAAGAGAGAAAGAGTTCTCCAAGAAAATCCAATTAGAACGAGGCTCAAGTAAAAATCGTATGGGCTTGACAGCACCATGCTTGGAATACAGTCTTTGGGATATTGGATGGATGAGAGAATATAGGTTTATAGTAACTAAGGACAGACAGGTCCAATGAATTTGATTCTATTGTATCATATAGGGACTATTGCGTAGTAGTCTAGTACGTCTATAATCATTGAGTCGAGTGAATTATTATAAAGATAATAACACGAAGCTATAAAGAGTTCTAACAGGTATGACTCATGACCAACTTGATATTGGGCCTAAAGGGTCACATGCATATGGTAGGTGTTGCGACGAGTAGATGTTCGAATATGAGATATCCGTTAGAGTCCCTATCTTATTGGATATCCAATAAGCCCTTGAATTATTGGATCCTATGGAAGCAGTCTTATAAGAGCTAATGAGAGATTATTGAGTCGAGACTCACTAATCTTAAAGGCTTAGGTAGTTAGATAGAGATTTAATACCCAATATGGTAGGATCTATTAAGATTAAGTTAACAAGGGGTCTCTATAAATCGGAGGGAAACAAAGGGCTATAGGCTAGACACTTTTTTGGCAGCCACCTCCTATACTCCACTCCCCTTCTCCTCCTTAGCTAGTAGCCCTTACTTGGGGTGTGTGGACAGTAAGAAGAGCTAGCCCCTTCTTGATTGCGTGGTGTGCATGAAGAGGAGATCTGTGCTGTGATTGAGGAGCGTCTTCGCAGCCCCTACCATGTGAATCATCACTAGAGAGGAGGACAGTTGACCTCCTTCATCCTCTCCCATAGATCTATAGGATTTCAAGGATATACAATCTCTCTAAGTAACACACATTCCTTAATATGCAGGGTTTTTTCAGTTTCATAGGTTTTACATACTAATCTTCGCACAACGATGAAACATTCTTTTTGTGAAAAATTCTAACATTTTTATTTTCTGTTCTTCTACTGCGCATATGTTATCACCCTAGATTTCTCAATAGAATGTGCTTGAGATGTGTGAGTTAGGAAAACCCGACCTACGCCACTAATATCCACCATGGTGGATACTTTGGGTCGAATGTGATCAAGGCATGTGAGTTGAGAAAACCTGACTCATGCCAGCAATATCTACCACGACGGAGACTTTGGGCCAAGTGTGCCCAAGATGTGTAAGTTTAGAAAGCCCAACCCACACTATCAAATTTGTCATAGCGAAGCTCTCGGGTTACATGTGCTTGAGGCATGTAAGTCGGGAAAACTCAATCCACATCTCTAGGCTCGCAGCAGTGGAGACCCTAGACCAAATGTGCCCAAGATAGGAGGATTGAGAAGGCTTGACTCACATCGAGAAAAGGAAAATGAGTTAGTTGCCATACTCTAGACCCCAAAGTACGCTTTTTTTTTTTGGGAGGGGAGGGGGAGGGTTGGGTTGGATGTGGGGTGATGAATGATAGTGAATATTTTAACAACTAATCCCCACTTGCCAAATAATCGCCCCAAGGGTGCTGATGTGGAAGAAAGGGGCTCGATCATCCTTTCCCTATCGCTGATGTGGGGATAGTTATAGCTTGTCGACCTCCATGGACAAGAGTCTACAGTAGGTAGTTCGAGTTTGGCTCCCCTTTGTTGCCCCTATAGACAAAACATCAAGGGGGGATATTGAGGTCATTACAAAAGGCCCCCTCGGCCAATTAGGTATAAAAATCGATGCTCAGTGTTGACCCCTGGGGTTAGACCCTTTCTAAAGGACCTTTCACATCTTATATAAACCTCAGGATTGACTTGAATGTTGGAGGGATCGGATCAGAAAACTCCTTATGATATTGGTCTTTGTGTAGGGACCCCCTTGAGAAGTCAGACCCCATCACAAACACCTTAAAGCTACACGAAGACCATCTCGGAGCCACCTTGGATACCTCAGAGCTACATAAAGACCACCTCGGAGCCACCTCAATCATTTCGGGCCATCTAGAGAGATCCACGGACATCCTTATGCCGTCGAGTCAAGACCAAGCTGAGTTGACTTATTCATCGATGACACTTTTCCTCAACATTATCTTTTATATCTTTTGGTACTTATGTTATTTAGATTTGCGTATGCTTGTAATATTCTTTATATTATGTTGCTTACAACTTATATATTTTTAGTATTTCATATCGTTTAATTTATATTTTTTCTAAACTTATACTTATTAATATTTTTTTAGTACACTGGTGTGAATTTAAAAAAAAACTCTTAGTCATAAAAATTTTCTTCAAAGTACCCCTTCTTATATGAAAAGACCATCTTATCCCTATCTTCATCGGACAAACCATTGGCTTCGCCCTGCATTATTGCTTCTTCCTCTCAAATCTGTCGTGCTGCAGCCCTCATTCACCATGGCCCTTACACAAGGAGGGGGCATGAAGGTGATGACGAGTTTAACAATGATTAGCAGGAAGTAGCGACTCTCGCGTCACCTCCTTTCTAGCACGAGGCCTATGGGCGAGACGCATAGGGGAGGGTTGGTGGGGTTCATGGAGATAATGGCGACCCTCGCACCTCCTCCCCATCCTCATATAAGAGCTATGGTGATGGGTCCGATGAGGATCACTGGAGTTTGCAGAGGTGGTGATGACCCTTGCATCCACTCTTTCCTCATTTGAGGGCGGTAGACGAAGCATGTAGGGATAGGCTAATGAGTTTTGTGGGGACAACAACCCTCACACCCCCTCCTTCCTAATACGAGAGTTGCATGAGGCGACAGCCCTCATGCCTCCTCCTTATAAGATAAGGGTGATGCGAGACGATGCAGGGTGGCAAAAGGTTGTAGGTGAGCATGACGAGGGCAACACAAGGGCCATACAAGCAGAGGTAGCGACAGGTCTAGAGAGACTAAAGGAAAAATGGTTATTTATAAAAAAAGAACGTTTTGTGATAAATTTTTCAATAAAACTTTCTCTTATATTTTTTTGATACGTTATACTTAATATAGTTTGAAATTTATATCGTTTGTGTTTATTATACTGTTGTTTAGTGTGAATTCGACAAGAATTTATCATATTCTAGCAACATTCATACTCTTCTTGTTAGATGCCACTGGCCGCTTATGATCAAATCTTCAAACTTTGGCATTCTAAGGGACGTCAAACGTGAACGCACGATCAGTTGGCAACCCGTAAAAAACACATGTAGCTGAAGTGGGAAGAGCAGCGGAAACTGTAGAAGCGGATTTGATCACCTAAACAACATGTAGAAACACATGTTGGAGCACGCAAAGTAAGTGCCTTCTTTATTCGAACTGCAGAAGCACTTGTCGGTGCCCCAATTTATCCTTCTCGCACTCATCGTCGTTCACCCAAACAGGATTCCCTACCCACAAGCTCAACAACTCACTCAAAACCCGGCATATTTGAAGACAAGCTGCCGCCGCTTCTCTTCTTCTTCCCGCCGGCGCTCCGGACCGGGCATGAACACGCTCTCCGGCTGCGCATTGAGCACCTCTTCCACTTCCTCCGCCGGGACGCCGAAGGCCATCGCCTTCGCAGCCCTGTCGAGTCTGTTCAGCACGTTGTTCCTCCCCGCGAGGTAGTACCTCCGGTTGTTCTCCGACCGTATCCCGAAGCAGAGGACCTGAAGGTTTTCGTTCGCAGCGGCCACAACTGCAGCCGGGTGCCCTGCGGGGATCACGAACACCGACCCACGGGAGACTCGCGATCTCACGGTCCGATAGCGGACGCGCTGCTCTCCTTGGGATCCCGACTCCTCCTGGGTTCTGCGTCGCTCGGCGGAGCGGTGGGGACAAGCCATCTCGATGTAGCCTCTTCCTTCCACCACCATGGCCAACTTGGTCGACCGGGTGTCGTAGTTTGGAGCCATCATTGATCTCTACACATAACAACCGCAGAGGCTGAATGATGGGAACGACTCTTACAGTGTGCATATAACAGTGCAAAAAAAGAGAATGAGATCACCTCGCTGATGTTAGCAATGGATACGTCCACATTCAGATCCTGGAGCATCTCGCACTCGTTACCTGTGGCCTCGTGTATTTGACCATGCTCATTCGAATGAGAAGGGTTGTTCTCCAGCAGATTGTATGGCTCATTTGAGAGTCCAAAAGGCCAACTCTCGGTTTTGGATTCATTCAATGCTCTGATTTGATCCTCGGTTATCTTTATGATTTCCCCCTTCCTCTGGCTCCGAAATACCCTCCCTAGTTTATCCCACGGAGTCTACAGATCAAACACAGTACGGTTAAATTCCTAAAGGGGGAAGAGTCGATGAGAAAATGGAGATGGAAGCAGATCGGAACCGACATTGAAGGCAGCTTCCAGTACTTCGTTGCTAAAACTGGTGTAGAAGGTCTGTGGATTCCTCCCGGCTGCACCATGGTACTCCTACGTCAAAGAAACCATGAGTCCTTCACATTGCACCGATGACCTAATCAAAAGGAGCGCACTGAATCCAATCTACCTCAATG